CCCCCCCCCCCCCCCCCGCCTCCCCATCCCAAAATCCCCACTTCAAAAAAACACAGTGGCTGAGTGCCTCGTAGGATTTATAGGTTCGCTGGAAGCTCCCGAGCCAAGGGTCTGGGGTCCGCCGCAACTTTTTGGGGTTTTGTTCTATAGGGTTTTGGGGTTCTGGGTTTCCTTGTAGAGTCGAGTGTAAAGGTTCGGGCTTTTGGGGTTTAGGGCCCCTGCAGGGATTCTGGGATCTAGGATCTCTAGGGTTTGGGGCTTGAAGGGCCTGCTGGGTTAAGGGTTTGGGGGCTGTGGGGTTCCACGATGGAGACAGGGGTCCGAAAGAGATGCACGAGTTGATACTTTAACCTACCAGAACCTACTTTTTTGTAGGGTCCCTATAAATCCCATATTAGGGTTTATAATAAGAACCTATACAATAAAAAAGTGGGTTATGGTAGTTTATAGGGTAAGAGGAAGATGGCTTGTCGACTCCACGCATCTTTTGCCGCACTTTGCCGGCGTCAGGGGATGGGGACTCTGTTCGAGGTCGAAGGAGAGACGTAGTACCTGCAGCAGGCTACATGGCGAGTTTCCGTGACTTTCTACAAAACGAAGCCTTAAATGAACCTATGGTCCCGTCTAGTGCATTCCAGACTCACTTCTTCCAGTGTTTAGGCACGGGATATGCCCTAGCATGCTTTACAAAAGGGCTATGCCAACAAGTTTTCCTTTGCCAAGCTTCGTAGACAGGCACTCAGAAGAATGCAGCTTAGGTTTAGGATGTACGGGCTGAGCATTAGACATTGCGAGTTTCGGAAGTCTCAGAAGATACGAAGACATGAAGGACCATTCCCTAACCCCCCCAGGTACCTACTACTATATAGGGCCCCAGGGGCTCTGGTACCCTATATAGTAGGTACCTGGGGGGTTAGGGACTCATTCAGCCCAAGCCTTGATAAGCTCGCGACTTATAAGGACGGACCGAGATACTGTAGAGAGGCTCTCTGGTCCCCTCCCCGGCTACCAAGCCCTAAAATCCCAAAACCTCAGGGTGAGGATATGTCAGGGCTTCGGGCTTAGGGCTACGGGCTAGGTTCTGGCGGGCCTAAGTTGCTTTCAGGGCTGTAGGTCTTCCGTAGGGTGCGAGAGCAGCACGAAGCCTCTTTGAAGGGAAGCGGTTTAGCCCCAAACCCTAAACTCCAAAGGGGGTTCAGGTCTCCTCTAAACTATACCCTCAGCTTGTTAACTGCGTGGTGCCTGCCCGTCTGGAAACAACTGCGGTTTGCATGAAGAGCCCTAGGTTCGGGATACCACCCGAGAATCCACCATGATTTTGATCTTCACCCCCGCAGCCCTGTGTATTGAAGTTGCTATGGTGGTTTACTTAGACTTTCGTCAGCACGGCGTCGGTCTTCTGGTCTGACACGTATCACCGACGCCTTATATCTTGAAAAGTTTCAGGACCCTGGCTAGGAAAGGGGGCGTTCGCACGAGGGTGTTCCGATCCCAACTCTTGCTTCACTAACACACGCATTTCGACGGGTTGGGCGGCTACAGCCCTCACCTGACATGGCCTAATACCACACCCTGGACCGGGTAAGCCCTATAAGATGCCTAAGAATTGGTGCTCCTGCTGGCTGACAATCCCGAACGCTAGCAGGCACTAGCAGCTAGCAAATATTCAAACCCCGAGGACCTCGACAAAAAGAAAGCCTAGACTACCCATCTCAGAACTGGCCTCACGCCCTCGGGCGTCTGAAAAACCTTGACCGTGGTGGGCCCATCGGGCAAATGGACCTTGAGAACAAGGTTTCGGGTACGGAGTTCGGGGCAGGTCCAGGGCAACCTCGGGCACCGAAGGCCATACAGTACTTCGGGGGAGGAGAATGTCTACACTGGTCCCGCAGCTTCGATGCCTACAATTCTGCGACGCTCACTATAAAGGTGTGCTCCATCAACTCCACACCTCTTCCAGTCTACAAGCTCACGTGAACAAGGATTGTACACATTACAGGTGCACAGACAACTGCAACTACAGGAAAAAGTAACACTATGCAGAGCCAGCTACCGCCAAGGCATCGCAGACGCAAGGCAAGCTCTTCTATCTTGGACGGCTCCCCTGTCAACGTGCCAACCAGCAACAAGGCTGCCGTCGGTCTCGAACAGTGGCAGAAATGAGTGTCCTACCGTCTTTTGCGCAGGGAATCAACATTGTGAGCCCTACACTACAACTACACCGGAAGATCAAAAAGAAGCAAGGTGCAGGTGCAGGCACAACGAATCCAAGCTTGCATTGCCTCGGGTGCTTGGACGAGTATCTGAAACCGCTGAAGTGGTGGACTGGGTTGTTGATGCAGATTTGCCCGGAGTGTCGCCTCCCAACCCTCAGCTGTATAACCTTGGATCGCGTGCACTGCACTTCTACACGCAATGGCTGGGCGGCAGCATGGGCAAGAAGCTGTGTCGGCATATTTCACGGAGCCGCGCGCTGAGCTGCTCAGCGCGCATTGACTAGCAACAAAGCCGGCGTCCAGCTGCCAAGAAGATTCTGCTCGCTTCTGCGCCGGGCACAAGATTCGAGTCCAGCACTACATACTGGATGAAGATTAAAAAACGACGTGAAGGCACAACGAATCCAAGGTTGCAATGCTTCGGGTGTCTTGCAAAAATGGAACCTACTTGCCAAACTCATTCCGAAAAGAAGCTCTTTGCTGCTGCTCGAAGGGAGAACTGGAGACATCGGGATGCTGATGCAGACTTGCCCGGAGTGTCGCCTCCTAACCCTCAGCTGTACAACCTTGGATCGCGTGCACTGCACTTCTACATGCAATGGCTGCGCAACGGCATGGTCAAGAAGCTGTGTCGGCACAGGTCACGAAGCCGTGCGCTGAGCTGCTTGAAAGCGTTGCGGAACTCTGCGAATTCTCGGGCTCTGAAAATCTAGAGTCGTGCTTTTGTCTAGGCTCAGTCCATATACTCCCCGGCCGCCGTGTCAGGAATTGAGGCTCCTTCATCGATCGGATAGGCCGCCTCCTTGCCTCTCCCACGGACGCTGCGACGATTCTGCAACTTCCTGTGTCCTTTGCTGAGGATACAGGAAGGGCTGGAGAAGACGGCCACCGGCAAGTCCGGCTCGAAGACGATCTTCAGCACCTGAGACGGCATCCCGCCCGGCCGTTCACATCGGGGACCTGCACGGGATGGTCCGGGGTCACCCGCAGTGTTGCAGCGCCCGCCTGCAAGTCGACCACTTTCGTAGCTCGTGCTTCTTTCGAGATCTCGGCCACCTCCAAAATGGTCTTACCATCGCCAGCCAGGACCTGCGACCCTTTCTGCAGGTCACTCCCCTCGCGGAAGACGTCCATGCGGCTCTTGAAGATGGCATCCAGCATGAAGCAGCAGTTCTGCTGCACGGAACAACCGGAGGACCCACTCAGGACGGAGGCATGGTCTTCATCCACGAGGCTGTGCCCCAGTTGCTCGGCTAGATCCGACTCCTCCTCACCGAAGGCTGCTTCGCGCGGAGCTGGACCCGGAGGATTGAAGGTGGGATGACCATGATGATGCGGACTCTTGCTTCTTGTTCATTTCGGCAAGCTGGCGAAGGCGCTCCTGGTACCTGCCCCTCTCTTCCCACAGAACCTCCAGCTGACCGCGTGCTTCGGCAAGCTGCTGCTGGAGCTGCCCACGCCGGTCCTGCAAGACTGCCTTCTCCACCTGCAGTGCGGTGCTTTGCCCCGTCTCAGCCCGCTGACAGCCATCCTTCAAGCTGAGATTCTCCCTTTGCAGCCGCTGCATCTCCAGCCGC